GGGAGGATGGAGCGCGCTGGGAGCGAACGGGCGAGCGAGCCCAGCGAGCGGAGAGAGCGAGTGAGCGACGGCAGGCAGTGAGGTCATCCTTTGAATCTAATTGTCTGAGTCAGGAGGAGATGTGGCACTTGATGCAGTGAGAGGGGAGGGGGAAGGCACCCTCCAGGCTCCGGGCTGGGGGGGGGGCTCTTCAAATCCAGGGGCAGCCGGGCCTCCGGGACCCCGCCCAAGGCGAAGTTGCCTCAGGCCAACTCCGACAGACCCCAGCGGGTCTCAGGACTGACCTCGGCTGCCAGGGGCAATCAGTAAGCCCCGACTGTGGCATCCAGTCCCACATCACCCCCTTCCTACTCTCTGGGGGTGATGGTGACCCCCTCCCAGGCCCAGGTCACCTCCCTGCATTTCTGAGGCAGTGGGAGAGCCCCAAACCACCTCAGCTCCTATTCCTGCCCTCTGAAGATAAAGGGGGAACTTCAACTAGCCTTCCAAGATACCCTTCGTGCATTCAGGGGCATGGAGTCTCCAGTTCTATTCCCCAAGTTACTTCTTGCACTGGAAATTTGGGGGAATCTGAACTTTGAACCCCAGCTCCCCTCTGAAAATAATAGTGCAATGTCACCCAGTTCTCCAGCTATTGCAATTTTATGGAGGCATGAGGACCCCCACCAGACCCCGAAGTCTCCCTATTCTGCATGCCCAACCTTTCAGGCAGGGGCTGCCCAGGGAACCAAGCTGCTCATGTTGGGGGGGGCTAGACCCAGCTGGCCCCTGGGCCTGTTAGGTGTGCACACCCAGGCGTGCACACATGCACACATGCACACATGTGCACATACACATAGTGGGGGGGCACCAAGCAGCTGGGGATGCTCACACCAAGGGCCACACACCCCTCCCCTCGCCCCCATGGGGGAGGGGTGATAAATATTTCAGGGGCTTTTAGCTCTGAAGGGGCTGAAGCTGGGGGAGGGAGGGGGATCCACAATGCCTGATTAATGGGGTTACGGGCTTGGATCAATCCGTCCACCCGCTGCTCCCTCCTTCCCCTCCTCCCTCCCTCTGCCTAATGCGCTTTATCAGGAGACGCTTTTCTGACTTGGCAGCGTTGGGTGTTTTAAATAGACCCATTTAGAGCAGGGGTTTGGGGAGAAAGGAAAGGGGGGAAGGGAGAGAGATTGAGACAGGCTGGGAGACAGAGACAAATCAGGAGAGAGACAAGCTCCAGAAGAGAGAGACTGAAAGACAGAAGGAGATTCAGAGGCATGGAGATAAGAGACTGAGGATGAGACTCCCACAGAGGCTGAAATGGCGGGG